GAGGTATTAAAACTAGATTTAATATATCTCACTGTGCAGGGATCAAAGGCTCAGTCAGATCTTGAAGTATACTGATTTTATAGTTGTTGATATGCTGTTGACTCATTATCTGCTGATTATGTATTGAATGCTGTTACTGAGGTATCTTTTTGTATTATTCTGCTGAGGATGGGCCAGATTGAGAGGGGTAGTACAAGGGTGAGACTTGGTGTTGAAGTCTAGATACACTGACGACAGACTGTGGAGGTTGCACTTCAGAAGTGTCTTATGGGTATGTGCTTGATATTATCGCTGAGGTATCTTTTTGTATTTTTCTGCCGGGGATGGGCCAGATTGGGAAGGGCGGTACGAGGGTGGGACTTGGCGTTGGTGTTTTGGAACATCAAAGATGGACAGGGTTTTCGCGGAGGTCGCTCCTCAGATATCTCCACAACTACAGATCGGGGATCTTCCAAAATCGAGAAGATTGATGCATATGACTAGGTCTCTTCACCTTACAATTTATATGGCAATTTGGCCCGGGGTTGTGGTGTGGTAGGGGAGAATGGGGGATAATCCCACGCAGGAGTTCCGAACGACGTCTGGTTTACATTTGGCTGGATAACTCCACCACCACACGGGGTATGCGGTCGGCGATGGGGTCAAAATGCTTGTATGATCGAGGGCTTTTCGATGGATCTATCGGCGGGTTCTTATTCGAAAAATCGAGCGAGTTCGTGGTGGAGCGGTTGATTATTATATAAAGATCTAGTAAGAAGCTGAATCTTTTACAGATAGAATCTTATAAGATTATGAAGAAAGTTAGCTCACAGTTCTACAGATTGAAACTGTTATCTGAGTTATAGATATACAATGTTTTTCATGTCTCTTTATTTCATAAATATAAGAAATTCTCAGAAGAGAACTCTGTGACTCATCACTCTGTTCATAAAGTATTAGAGAATGAAAGAGAATATCAGATTAAAGAGATTATTGACTCAGAGAAGTGAGATTACAAGCTCTGATTCAAGATTCAGTGATAAGAGTATTCTGATAAGATGAATAAGTTCACTTAAAAATCATGTAAGTAGATAAGATATCTGCAGAAGCTGAGATATGACTTTCATATTATAAATTCTGATAAGTCAGAATAACATAATCTTCACTAAGAATCTAGTTATGATAAAGATATTAATACTGTTATTTACAAGCTCTAGTCTACAAGATGATAAGTTTCTACTGAGATGAACAGTTCATAGTATATATAAGAAAAGAAGAAATTATACTCTTATTAAAGTTAAAAAAAATAAGAAATAAAAACAGCGCTGTGAACACAATTTAGAGACTAATAAAGAAAAAATAAAGAAAACTCAAACTTATATTCTTAATATCTGTAACACTCAATTCTCTCATAACTATCAATTTTTCTCTTTAAAGAAGCAGAGAGTATTATATCTGCAGTATGAACAATTGTTACATTTAATATAAAGACTGTCAGAAATACACAGACTTCAGAGAAGTCAGATATCAGAGTGTGTATAGTTGCAGCAGAGTCTTGAAAACTGATCATCTGTATATATAATCAGATATTTCTTACAAAGCTATATCTGCTTTTTCAGTTGTACTGAAGTATTCAGTCTGAAAACAATTGAGATGTGAAGAGAGAACTTATCTGTTCAGATTAACTTCTGTTATGAATTCATAGTATTTACATTATCTTGATTATCTGAATTTTATAAGTACTCAGAGTCTCATCTCTCATTGATAATGAAATTGTGAAAATGTGCTGCAGTGTGAGAATCATTGATAGAAAATCTAGATATATTCATATATATCTGATCAGAGATTATATAAGCAGAGAGAAGATGATTATAGACTTACAGAGTCACAGAAAACACTGACAATACTGAGAGCTTTATAAGAACTGTCAGCTAGAATCTGTAAGAAATTACTTATAAGAAGACTTACAGCAAAGAAGAGAACTGCACTGCTTGAAGTCAGAGACTGATCTGAGAAAGACATGAAATTAACTGCTAATCTGAAGATTGAGTGTAATGATAAGACTGAGAGAAGTGAAGATACAGTTGTAAGTGACAGTATCTCTACTTTATCAGCTGATAAAAAGCAATCAGAGAAGTTGCAGAGATGCTTATAAGAAGCTCAGCAGTAGTCAGATATTATTTATAAAGATATTAAAATAGAAAAAATTTTTATTCTTGAGAAGTTCTTGAATTAATATACAGATATTATCAGAAATACTCTCTCTCTGTCATCTGAGTGAAAATACTTTGTGAATGAATAAGAATACTCATAATTTATAAGAATGAAAGCTGTTATAAAAAAAGAGAAAAGAAGATAAGATTTCATAGATAGATCTGAGATATTTATACTACTCTAGAGAGATTTACTTACACTGTGAATAATTCTGTGAAACAGTCAGATTACTCTAGTAAATAAGAGTGATTATGAATTGCAGATCTGAATCTTTCTATATGATTATAAAGAGTAATTATAGACTGTGAATATCTTGATTCTATAATTCTACAGAGTTAGTGAAAGAATGAAAAATTCCTCACAATTCTACAGTGTTAAAGAATAATGATTTATAAGAATAAGTGAAAGATTAACTTGTAAATACTTCTCTTTAATAAGAATAATCTTATAGAGAGTGATTTATCTATGAGATGAATCTATGTAATAATTATATAAGAATCTTATAAAAATAATTAAGAGTCAACTGAAACTCTTCTATATAAAAGATGTAAGATGAATCTGTATAATAGTTAAAGAAGAATCTATAAATTATAAAGAATCTCACAGAATAAGAAACTGAGTGACAGACTCTTTTTTTCTTCACAGTAATAAGGAATTTTTTCTCACTGAGATTTTTTATAGATATGAAGAGTTTTTAGTAAGTATCACTGCAGTGCTGAGCTGATTCTATTAAGTCACTCAGTGAAAGGCTTTGCAGACAGCCCTGGTGGCTGAATGGTTAATACGGCCACCTGGTAGTGCCTTGGCATGGGAAACCAAGGCGCGTGGGTTCAAAACCCGCAGGGGATACATTAAATCCAGAACTCAAGCACCTCAGGTTTCTAATAAATACAGAGGTGTACAAATCACTCCAATGAATCACTCTATGTTCCTGGGCTGAAAAGTTATTATCGCATGTATCTAATTGTCACTCCTTTGTATTTTCCTATGTTCTTGTTATCTTGGCGTGGTCTCAACACCTGTATTTCCTCCTGTATAACCAACACTTGACCTGTATTTAACATCATGCAAGGACTCATCATAAGCTCCGCTTGCATATGAGTATAATGAAAGAATAATAATAATAATAATAATAAGACTTTGCAGACAAAGCCTTAGAGAGAGAAGAATATATAAGAAATCTTACTTCTTATGAATTCTTTATCTCTATTTCTATCTCTTGTATAACTAATAGAGCTAGCAGCTCTTGACTACACACAACTATATAGACTGAAGTTTATGAATACTATTCATAACTTAGTTTAAATACTATTATACATTTAATCTCTACATTTTATCTTTCTACTGTGAATACTTCTAGTAGTTAATAGTACATATCATGTCAAGCTGCAAACATCTGAATAATTATCTGTAAGCACTTATTCTTACAATATTAGAATTAAATACTAGAATAGTATCTTCAAGTATTCTATTTATATTATTAGAATGATTAACTCAAACATCTTCTAATCACTGAATTTATATATAATAATGTAAAGAATATAATCTTAAAGATATTTTCTTTCTATATTTATTATAAATATAATTCTTCATTACTCAGTAATGTCATAGATAATATTTTAAAAAAGAGAATAGATAGTCAGAATATTAAACAGATATAGAGAACAGAGTATCTCTCAGTATTAGAAGTAAAAGTAAGATTGAAACTTTTAAATAAAATTTATAAGAAGACAGTGAAAAGTATCTGTCATACTCAGAAGTAATAGATAAAATACTATAATTAAAAACATCTTTCAATAAAGTTTTTAATAGAGAATTAAGTACTACTTTTAACAAAGAATATTAAGATAATGAGACTGTGTAAGAAGCTTAGTAAATGATAACTAAAATCTTTCTCAGTAATAAGAGTAATAAATAAGCAGATATATAAGTTGAAATTACTCACAGAATTAAAATTAATTTATTCTATTTTTCACATTTTCTATTTAAAGCTCTATAAATAATATCTCACAGCAGAGCTGTCTCAGCTGAATAATATTAAGATTAAGAGTGATACTGAATATCTTATAAAGAAAATATTGAATAAGTGAATATATTATAATAAGCTTCAATATCTTGTGAAATGAGAAGATTATTTATTATCAGAGAATTTATAAAAACTGCTTAAATATTTGAAAAATATTGAGAAAGAGATTGTAAGTTATAAGATAACTAGTAGAGACTACTCTGTTATATATCAGAAATATTGAATAAGAAATACTACTTAAGACTTCTCATTTTTCTTAAAGAATTTTTTTAAAGATAATCTCACAGTGATAAGTTAATGTCTTATAAGCTCTGTAGCACTCTTCTTCTATTTTCTCTTAAAGAATTTTTTAGAAGTTTAATAAGACTATACAAGTATAAAATTCCTGAAGCAGTTAGAGAAAAGAGATATTTAAAATTAATAAAAAAGATTAATATTATTGATTCACAGACTGCTGCTATTCTAGTAGAGCTGCAGTCTGCTGAAAAAGTAAAAAGAGAGATCAGAACCTACTTATTAATAATCACATTCTCATCAAACTTATTCTTTACTGTTGAAGTCTTCAGCATCAGTATTTTTATCTGCTGAGAAGTTAGTGCTGCAGTGCTGCAGAGAAGCATGCTGCAGAAGAACATGAGAGATGCTGAAAGTATCAACTTATCAACTTATAAAGTATCTTAATCATCTGCTTCAACTGAAGTGAGATTCTCTTCAATCAGTAATTAATCTTCACAGCACTTTCAACAGTGACACTGACTGACCTCTTCTTAGAGTCAGTCATTCTGAGGTGTTTTTCCATCTCAAAGATCCATGCTTTCACCTTCTTTTGCAGATGAGCAAGGGGGACCTCCCCAGCCTTGATGGAATCCACCAATGCTTGGAGCTCCGAGACCCTCACTCTGTACTGCTTGAGCACCTGGGCTCCTTGTCAGAGCCGACACGACGCCTTCCTGTGGGGTAATACTTACAGGGAGGCAGGAGTCGTTGTTGCGGGCGCAACGGCGGCGGGGGGGGCAGGGGAAGGACCGGACACGGACGAACCGACCGGCAGAAAGGACGACACCCCACTGCAAGGCACGGCGACTACCGCCGCGGCTGCAAGAGAAGCAGGAGGAGGAGGAGGAGGAGATGTGACAATGGGAGCGGTGCTCCCGCGGTCCGTCAACACCGCTGCCTCCACCTCCAATCAAGCTTTCTTAGCAGCCACAGAGGCCGCAGCCGCATCACAAAGACATTTACTCACTAGAAAATGTCAGAATAAGCCCTTTATTATTCTTTAAGAACAATACTCCCATGCACTCACTGTTGCAATTGAGGAAAGAGAAAGAAAAATGTTTCATGAGAGAAGAGATCTTTTCAAAAAATCCTGTCACTACTATTAACTTTGTCCCTGAAACACATCACTTTTGCAGGGAATTTCATATATAGAATAGAATATGATGAGAGATCTGTAAGTCACTTATTAACTACATTTTCCACATTTCAAATTGATATATAAGAAACTCACTTATCACACATTTGATTTGAATGAAGATGGGAAAAGAAAGATCTATACAGTCAGTAGAAAAACTCATCTATTTCTTTATATCACATACAGCATATATACTGTCAAATCAGTTAACAACTGTTGCTATATAACAAAGATAATTTCTAATCTGATAATCTTAAGAGTATCAAGACTATGTTCTTAAAGAGAAGAATATTATCATACTCTCAGCTATGTCAAGACTCTGCTATAATTTCACACAGCTCATTGCTTTCATGTGAATAATTTCATTCTATTTAAACTGATTTTCAATCACTCTATAATATTATTCAGATATATTATAGAAAGATTTAATTAATAAATATAAGAACTCTGCTTCTATACAAGATTAGCAGATTACTCTTTCTTAATAATAAGATATTACTGAGATATCACTTCAGCTATTCTTACTTATGAAATGAGAGAAGAGTATTTACTTATTATTTATATAGAATAGCTAGATACTGACTTCTTATTAAAGAAGTCAGTGATTCATTTTTCTTCTACTGAAATATAGACAAGAGTTACTGTATATCTTATATAATCTTCTTAATATACTAAGTATTATATCTGTGATATTCTCATGATAACTCTGTAATCTATAAGCTCACTATTCAAGTAAGATAGTCAAGCTCACTTATACAGCTTCTTAAATAACTATCTCTATATAATATCACTGACTAGTTACTGCTTCAGTTCCGTCACATTACAAATATTAAGATATTTACTATTATCAGTGAATACAGATCTGTTAATATATAAAGATTTTATATGAAGAAAAATAATCAGTATTTACTTCTATATAAAATTATATCAGAAAATACAATCAGATATCTGCTGAGAAGAAAAGAGTTAAGAATATATAAGAAGATAAAGAAGATATGTTATTTATAGTAATATATTCTAATAATTATTAGAAAAACAAGTTCTGATCATATTTTATAATGTGTTTTACTTAGACTGACTATGTAACTGTATCTGAGATCAGAATCATATTTTTTAATAGTTTTATTATCAATTTGACTGATCTTATTACACAGTTTTAACATTAGATAGTAGTCTTATACTGTTTCAGTGAGACTTACTGTCTACTCTTATTATATTTTTTAAATGAGATTATGATTTTCACTTCTCAATTTAAATTATTTTTATTGCTTTAAATAACTTTAAATCTCATTTAAGTATTATCAAAAAGTGTTACTTTTTAAAAAATTAAAAATAGTTTAAAAAAAACCTTAAAATGTCTAAAAATAGTAACTTTATATCAAGAATGAAACTAAATGAAATTAAATGAGATCACTTTCTTATTTTTTTCAAGTCATGATTTCATTTTAAGATCTGATATATAGTCACTTTACATGTTTTTTTGATAGTCAGTCTTAGCAGAATTCATGCCAAGAAATGTATGAGATCAGATCAAATGAGACTAAATGTGAAATTCATAGTCTCAGCAGCTAGTCTAGTTTTACTTACTGCTAATAAACTGCTTAGTATGAGTACTATAATAATACTTATAATAAGAACAGAGAGCTATTATCAGAAACATGTATAATATAATAGATGAACAGATTAAAAAGAATATAATAAAGAGAGAAGAGACAGAAATCTTGTATAAGATAATAATATTTAATAATGATAATAATGAGAATGATGATTGAAGAATGAAAATATTAGTAAATAAATAAATAATGTAAAATAGTAAAAGCTTCTCAGAGAGTAGCTTATATTATAGTTATATAAGTATGACTGAATCTGATGAGAAAGAATATAATTCAGAAGAATATACAATCACTGAATAATAACACAGCTACTTTTAAACACACTTATCAATGTAAAGAGGCTCTAGCAGTCACTAATTAATTTAGTATAATGTATATAAGAAGCTGATGTACGTCTGTAATTGTACACTAACTTAAGCAATCTTTGAATCACAGTATGAATCCTGCTGAGACTAATTATTGAAAAAACATATAAAGTAACTATTTATCAGATCTTAAAATAAGATCATGACTTAGAAAAAATAAGAAAGTGATCTTATTTAATCTCATTTAGTCTTATTCTTGATATAAAGTTACTATTTTTAGATATTTTAAGGTTTTTTTAGACTATTTTTAATTTTTTAAAAAGTAACACTTTTTAATAACATTTAAATAAGATTTAAAGTTATTAAAAGTAATAAAAAGAATTTAAATTCAGAAGTGAAAATTATAATTTTATTTAAAAAATATAATAAGAGTAGACAGTAAGTCTTACTGAGACAGTATAAGACTACTATTTAATCTTAAAACTATGTAATAAGATCAGTTAAATTGATAATAAAATCATTAAATATTCTTGTTCTGATCTCAGACATGATCATATAATTAGACTGGCTGTCAGAACTATGAATTTCATGTTTAATCTCATTTAATCTGATCTCATACATTTCTTGATATGAATCCCGCTGGGACTGGCTATCAAAAAAACATGTAAAGTGACTATATATCAGATCTTAAAATGAAATCATGACTTGAAAAAAATGAGAAAGTAGTTTCATTTGATCTCATTTAGTCTCATTCTTAGTATAAAGTTACTATTTTTAGACATTTTAAGGTTTTTTTTAGACTATTTTTAATTTTTTAAAAAGTAACACTTTTTGATAACACTCAAATAAGATTTAAAGTCATTTAAAGCAATAAAAATAATTTAAATTGAGAAGTAAAAATCATGATTTCATTTGAAAAATGTGATAAGAGTAGACAGTAAGTCTCACTGAGACAGTATGAGACTACTATCTAATGTTAAAACTGTGTAATGAAATCAGTTGAATTGATAATGAGACTATCAAAAAATCTGGTTCTGGTCTCAGACACGGTTACATGATCAGTCTACATATAATCAGTCTAATTAAGACTATACTTTTAAAGAGAAAAACATTATTACACTTCTAACTGTGTCAATAGTCTGTGATAGCTTTACACAGCTTATTACTTCTCTGCAGATGATTTCATTCATCTCACAGATATTTAAATCAGTTTTCAATCACTCTATAACATTACTTAAATGCAATATAGAAGGATTTAATTGATGAATATAAGAATCTCACTTTTATATAAGGTTAGCAGATTGCTGCTTTCATGTCAGTAAGACACTGCTGAGGTATCACTTCAGCTATTCTCACTTATAGAATATAGACTGACTGTGTGACTGTGTCTGAGATCAGAATTAGATTTTTTAATAGTCTTATTATCAATTTAACTGATCTCATTACACAGTTTTAATATTAGATAGTAGTCTTATACTATTTCAGTGAGACTTACTGTCTACTCTTATCACATTTTTCAAATAAGATCATAATTTTCACTTCTCAATTTAAATTATTTTTATTACTTTAAATGACTTTAAATCTCATTTAAGTGTTATCAAAAAATGTTACTTTTTAAAAAATTAAAAATAGTCTAAAAAAAACCTTAAAATGTCTAAAAATAGTAACTTTATGCCAAGAATGAGACTAAATGAGATCAAATGAAACCATTTTCTCATTTTTTTCAAGTCATGGTTTCATTTTAAGATCTGATATATAGTCACTTTACATGTTTTTTTGATAGTCAGTCTCAATGGGATTCACGCCAAGAAATGTATGGGACCAGACCAAATGGGATCAAATGTGAAATTCATGGTCCCGGCGGCCAGTCTAATAGAATAGAAGAGAAATGTTCACTCATTGTCTATATAGAATAGCTAGATGCTGACTTCTCATCAAAGAAGCCAGCAATTCATTTTTTCTCTCTGATAATATATACAAGAGTTACTGCAATTCTCATACAATCTTCTTAGCATACTAAGTACTGTACCTATGACATCCTTGCAATAACCCTGTAGCCCATGAGCTCGCTATTCAAGCAAGATAGTCAAGCCTACTCATACGGCTCCCCAGATAACTACCTACGTGACGCCGCCGATTAGCCACCGCTTCGGTTCCGCCACGTTACAGCTTTTTGGAGTCAACGTGTCTTGAGAGCAAGGCCAGATTCGCCCAACCCCAACACCACCAAGACTACTCCTCAATCATACGGAGTACATGCAGCATGCTGCCCCGGTCTGGGACTGTCCTGCTATGATTTTTATTGAGCCAGCAGAACACCGACACAGTACGCATCCTAGTGCGCATCTGCTGCATCACTTTCTCCTGGGAAGAACAAACGGTGTAACTTTTTGTATCTGGGTCCAAGATCATCAAGCGAGGCGAACCACTGCGCTGCAGATCACGCAAATTACAGCTAATCTCTGTATTTATATGTCCATCCCGACACCACCCACATCGGCATGGTGGAAGCGGTCGGCTCCGCTGCCATGGGGGATACAGCTCTGAGGAGTCGAGGACCCCCCCCGTGCCTGCCCACTTGTTGAAGCAGGTTGGGGAGACGTGCTCAGTGTGTGTATCCTCGACTCCACGAGAGACAAATCTCCCTCTTATTGGCTTCTCAGATGGAGAGTTTCTGATCTGAACGGGAAAGATGAAAGTATTCTTATTTGTGTTCCTCGTCTTACTCTTTATAACTAACTATTATTACATTTTACGCTATGGACTCTTCTAGCTTATATTCTATACTTACTGAGGATGACCCGACGGTTGAAACCCACTTTGCTCCAGGTGAATGTGGATCCACCGGACGGGAGACTCTCCATGGGACGAAGGGGGAAACTTGGGGCATCTCCAATCAGGTCTGCTGCCTGTCTGACTGACTACAAGCATATGCTTGACTCGTTGGTTTTGATTGCTCTTCCGCTTTTGGTGGCTATCTCCATACCTCCCTGGCCCCAGGGAGACGAGCGAAAGGGAAAAAGAAAAAAAAGAGCAAAGAAATAGGGCAGAACCCCTGGCCATTATGATCTCCTGCGCTGTGCAAAGAATCCATCAAACTCCCTCGACCCCGCCGCTTTGAGCGTCTAACCCGCCATCTGGGAAATTCTCACTCGGCAAGCTTCTCATCGTTATTCTTCGTTGTCCTTTTCGCAGCCTGCCCCCAATCCCCCTCGAGCCATGGCGAGAACAAAATAAAAAATTAACCCCCAGCTAGCCCAGCTGTCCCAGCGGAGCCAGCGAACTCTTTGCATTGTGGCTTCATCAAAGCTCCCAACTTATACAATGCACGGGCTAGCAAGCTTCGCTGTCATTGGCGCTTTGCGACTTGCTCCCTTCTTGCAAGCTATTCATCTGAATCACAATCATCAAGGCGTCCTTCAATCCGCTCCTCTACCAATATGATACATATATACTTTCTACCCATTTTTTCTGCTTAACTGCATGCTTGCTATCTGTCTATGCTACTCTTGTCTCCTGTCTATACTTCTCTTGTCTGAATATATTCACCCCCGCCACATTCTCCTGTCCACTGCGGAATGGTAGCTGAGAAATGACCGCTGGCCATCCTCACTACCTGCCATCATCCCAGTCTTGCTACTCAATATGTTCCTGTCAATAATCCGCGAGAGCTGGTGGTGCTACACTACGCTCGAGAGACGCAATATAGCCCTCTACATCCTGGGTATTATGCTTTACAAGTTCGGGCTAGAGGCCTTTAACGGATCCATTGTCGCCCTCGCCACCAACAGATATGACTATGACGCCTTCGTCTCTAACTCGACTTCCAAAACCTTTGAACGAGTCGGCCTCCTTACTGGACTCAACCAGGCATTCCAATGTATCGGAGCCATCCTGATAGCACCGCTCGTCCGCAGAGCTCCCACCAAGTTGGTCCTGGCAGTTTCCGTTCTCGCCTTTGGCCTCTTAACCGCGTTGCTCCTGATCGTGGATGCCAGTACCGGTGGGACATTCGTGCCCAAGCGCTTCCGCGAGAACCATCCCAGGAATCATTTCTCCTACTACAAGAAATACAACACCGACGGTATAATTCCTATTTACTCAGTTACAAGCATTGCCTACAAGATGGTGGAACTGATCCGCCATATCATGCCGAGAGATCTTGTGGGAGGAAATGTACTGAAGCTTCGTCGATTGGATGCGCTGGTTCATATATTTTATGAAATTGCTGGCACCAGCGGCGCGTTCTGCACTGCGCTGGCGCTAATACCCAATCTAGGAAATAACTATTCTTTCATAATTACCCCCGTTTGCTTTACCATGGCCGCGGCCACATGGTACTCTATAACCAATCTGGACTTCCAGCCTCAAGCGCAAGAGGTTCTTTCTGAGCGACCTGCATACGTCAAAGCCATCGTTGGGTCGTTTCTACTCTTCTTCGAGTCCTTCTGGACCGGCGGTAAACTTATATTCACTAATCGACGCTTCATCTGGCTGCTGCCCGGATATGCCATTGCACTCTATGGCCATCGTTATTTGGAAAATGGGATAGCACCGGCTATTGCCCGGCGATACTTGGGCAATTCCGCCTGGTCACAGTTAATCGTTGGAGGCTCGAACTTGGGCGAATTGCTAGGTGCCACATTCGTGTTCTTCTTCACAAATCTCATCACCACTCCTATTCCATGGATCCGGCTTGATGCGGTAATGTTATTGATTGTCTGGTACCTGCCCTTTTGGCGCCCGCCAGCGGGTCAGGTTGCTTATGCCTGGATAGTTGCCGCCACTTTCCTCCCCATATCCTTCGGCTGGGCAGCTGGCGATGTCTCCCTCGCCGCATACATTCAGGCGACATTAGCACGTGTAGAGTCCAAAGCAAAGAACGTCTCTGCTCTGGGCGCGGTGATGGCATTCCTTTATACCACCTACATCGTCCTGTACGCTATCACCTCCCCAGTACTGGGCAGGTACATAGACCACGTCTTCAACGAGTCTGGTGGAACCGAGAACGGCGGTGACATCCACCTAGCGATCCTAAACATAGGCGCCGTTCAATTCACCATCCTATCCGTCGTGATCTTGGCGGCGACATTTGTGCCCCAGGGCGCCTTCGCCTTGAATCCAGACGTGATTTTCGACGAGCAGCTGGACACGGAGATAGTCAAGCCGAAAAAGCTTGACGGGATCGATCTAGCGAATCGCCGTAGCGACGGTGAGTATCCCGATACCTACTCGACCCGCAATGGCAGCCGGTATGGCAGTCGTCATGCTACTCGCCATGGTAGTGCCTACACCTACCGCCATGAGAGTTGTCACGGGGTCTATGATGGCGGCCGTCGGTATCAGAGTCATGCAAGCGTAACATAGTACCCAGCTCCAGCTCCAGTTCTTATTTTTATTTTTATTTTCTTTATATTCCATCTTTTTCAAAATTATGTCTCCTTCACTTATTTAATGATGGCTCAGCAATTCTCCCATCAATTCGATTTTTCTGATACCAGCGTTTTGTGTCTTGTCTTTTTGACTCTGGGTAACCATCCTAACTCCCATTAACTGCAATCACACATTACCCGTCTCGAGAATATAATATACCCAAATACTTCTCCCCAGTTTTGATACCCCTTTTGTTACATTATACATGCACGCGAAAGCATACGCTCACGAGGTTAATATCACTCAAGCAATCAAGCAAGACACTGGACACAAGTACAGTACACATCATGATACCCCATCTCGCTCACTCACTTTTTATCCCGCCGCCTCACATACTATACATGTACAATGTGTGTGTGTGTGTTTTTCTTTTGCTGTTTTGTGTATCTGTGATAGATAAATGTAGATATGCGTACATCAGTAGCAGCAACAGCAGACTATGTGGTTCAACCACTCGTCCACTAAATATAAAAATATCGCAAAATCGCTACTGAATGCTGGTATGTACATGTACAATAGTTAAATAATCCATTTGTTTCTTTTAAGTAGGCTCTAGTAGACCTTACCTCCACATGTAGCTCTCAAAAGAAGGAATAAGTTTCTATTCCCCTGCTACATTCTATCAACCGTTGCACGGCTAGCGGAATAGAAAAGCGCATAAGACAATAAAATAATGTAATGGAAATGATGAAACGAAAAAAAGAGAAAAAAACAAAAGGAAAGGAAAAGAAAAAAGAAAAAAAGGAAAAGAGAAAAGAAAGGGAAAGTGATAACAAGCATGAAACCGCGATGTGTATTTTGCATCATAAAAGAAAAAGGAACGGGTGGCATATAAAACATGAAGAGGCCAAGTAACAGGAATAAAAACGCATAAAGAGAGCCTCCATCTTCACAGGTGTTTTCCCATAAACTTTCGTTTGGCAAAAGCGAGCCACCACTAGAAGACAAGACAAGTCAGCCGTTTATGCGCCTCTTACACAGAGAAAAAAAAAAAAGTGTAAGCGCATCATGTACACCATACCTTTGAAGGCCCGACCCCTCCAGGGTAGAGGCGGGAATGTAATCGGATAGCAAGTTCTTGTCGGACCTGAGAGATGTATCTAACGTGAAACGTCTAAGTTTTTTTTTTATTTTTACGAGAATAATCACAACTAGAGAGATTCCTGTGAACGTACTGTCTTAAAGTCTCTGCATCTTGCCGATCACGGGGTGACTCGAACGCCTGGTTTAGGGGGAAGGAGGCGTCTCCGGGGATCGCGAAGTGGTCGAGAGAAGTGTTGATAAGGACCTACATATATATTATATGTATTGAATTTCAGAATCAGCAATCCGAATATAATCTAGCCCAACAGCGGCCCAAGGCGAGAGATATTCATTCTTTTACCTTCTCCGCCTCCCTCGCTGCCATGCCCGGCTTAACCTTCGTCAGACACTCGCTCACGAAGAGGATGCCATATATCAGCATACGGTCGGCAGGGCCCTTGATTTCGAAATTACGGAAGAACGTGTTGGCGCGGTACAGGGAGAGGATTTCGTCGAGGCAGTCATACGATTCGCTGTCCGGGTCTATGTTGAATTCTGCGGTGCCGGGGGCAAGTGGGGGGAGTGTGTAGGCGGGGCCACGCGTGCGAGTGCGGAGGGGGAGGAGGGGGAAGTTTCCTGGTTTTATGTTAGAAATAAGATATTGTTTGAGTTTCTTGGGAAATACCTATGGTTGGGACATCTGCCTCGTGGAGGAAGATGGAGTGGTATGCCTAGGGGAGAGGTCAGCGGAGGGCGCGCTTCAATCAAAACATACGAATTGGGAACAGGATTTTAAACCCACCGGCATCTTCGAATGGGTTCAATTTATCTAATGTATGATCTTCTTCGGAATTCCTAGCTAGATTCTTGCTGCCAGAAATATCTCGTTCGTCGTCGTCGTCGCCGTCGTCGCCGTCGTCCGTTACCTCTCAGCGTCAACTCGCTCTTTGGTTGGTGTCATGTGATGTCATGGTGCCGGGTCTCGCGCTAGTCTGATTTCATACTAGTCTGCCCTGCCAGTTTTTCCGGTTCCGAGCGCTCAACGCGTCTTTTAGCGGCTCAACTTTCGAGCGCGTTAAATGGCTCAATGCGGAAATCCTCTGCGCATCTTCGATAGAATCAGGAAAATTACATCGACAGTTCCGAACTTTATACGTTGTTCCTATACACACGTTTCCCAATCGCTAGATCATAGTTTTGGATTTTGGATTTCTAGTGAAGGCGTTATACGGGAGTCATCAATTCTATCCCACCCCGGCCATGTCGGACTTCGAAGATGAAATGGATGTGGATGCCCCGCCCTCCAAGAATACTGTCCAGTTCAGCTCCGATAATACCAATGCGAGAGGCAAAAGAATAACAGCCGACCTTCCCATTGAAGCAGAGGATAATCTACCATGGTGATATTTTCCCCTCAATTATCGTCATTTCCCCCCTGTCCAGCTGTGGTTGGTGGAGCTGATAGATTATCTCGGGAAGGGTTGAAAAGTACCGCCCAAATACCCTAGAAGACGTATCCGGACACCAAGATATCATTGGTACTATAAACAGATTTATCGATACGAATGTAAGATGGGCGAGATCAAGGTCATGTGTTAAACCCTCAAAACGTTGAACGGGCTAATTGTTGTTTACTGTCTAGCGATTGCCTCATTTACTGCTCTATGGTCCTCCAGGGACGGGGAAGACGTCAACCATCCTTGCCCTAGCACGCCGGATATATGGAGTCAAGAATATGCGGCAGATGGTCCTGGAGTTGAATGCCAGTGATGACAGAGGAATTGATGTTGTCAGAGACCAGATCAAAACATTCGCCAGTCCGTTCTCCACCTCTTTACATATATATATCTGCTGTTCCCCTGTTGCACAAGGCATTATGAAATTGACAAGCATTATTTATATGCTAGGCACCAAACAAATATTCTCGATGGCTCCAGCCGCTAAGGCAGAATCAACCCTTGGGGCATTCAAATTGATCATCCTAGATGAAGCCGACGCGATGACTGCCGTAGCGCAGATGGCCCTCCGTCGCATTATGGAGAAATACACCGCGAACGCTAGATTTTGTATAATTGCAAACTATTCCCATAAGCTCTCTCCCGCTTTACTGTCGCGATGCACACGATTCAGATTTAGCCCGTTGAAGGAGAAAGATATCCGTGTTCTAGTGGACCAGGTCATCGAGACGGAGCAGGTGCGGATACAGCCCGAAGCAATTGATAGCCTTGTCAAGTTGAGCAAGGGAGACATGCGGCGAGCATTGAATGTACTCCAAGCTTGCCATGCAAGCAGTAAGCTTATTCAAACCGAAGCGCTTCGTAAGGCTGAACAATGCGTACCGTTTCTTACTGATCTGATGTTTTACGATGTGGTTCTCAGGTATACCCCTTCCCATCAAGAACGCCCCAAAGGACCAGCCCACTCCCGACCATGAGACCATCACCGACGAAACAATCTATACTTGCATCGCGGCCCCACACCCATCCGACATCAAAACGATTATCACCGCGCTATTAACAACCAGCGACGTGACGTCGTGTTTGAACACTATCAAAACATTGAAATCCAATAAGGGACTTGCTCTGGCGGATATCTTGACATCAATATCGACAGAGTTGCAGCACATTGAAGTGCCTGCGGCGACACGGATAATCTGGATGGAAGGGCTGGCAGATATCGAATGGCGCCTAGCTGGGGGTGGAGGGGAAATGGTCCAGACCGGTGGGCTGGTTGGAGTGGTGCGCGGGGGATGTGAACTAGCAGGAAAACTAGATGCCCCTCACCATACCTCGTCTATGGATATATGAATCCCACACAACTATATATTATTGAACGCCATTTCAGGACTAGGATTGAAAAAAGAAAAAAAGAAAAAATACGCCTGTCCTCTGGACACCTTTATCTTTTTGACTTAACATTCGGACATCATGATAACCCCCGTTTCAGGTAACTCAAGAACTTAAAGACAAAACTTTATCTATCGTCCGAGACAAAGCATCGGACGAAGAAGGGCGGAAGTGGGGGGTGGCAAGAAATCAGCCCACGCTGCAGCCATTCAAGAAGTGGGGAACGAATGGATGTATGAAGCTCGAGATGCAGAATTATCCAAATCACCATTTCAACTTTGACCTTTCTTTTCAAAAACCATTATGAACCGCTTCTGTCGGAGTGTGGTCAATAGGATTTCAGAAAAATATACATAACTAATTGATAAAATAAAGTAATTAAAAATCGTAATCCACCAGTGCTCACAGATTCTATCTATCCATATTCCATAGACTCAATTTGCTTTCTTTTTTTTTCCTCTTCCCCGCACGGCTCCACACATGTTGGCTATTTAAGCATTGGATTCCGCATATTTATTTGCGACTGTGCCCGTCGTCCACTTCGCCTCCCTTCTCTCCTTCTCTTCTTTTTCCACAACATTCAACAATACGAGAAGCGCATCGCATAAAACTATAACCTGATATAACCCTAAATTCCGTTTCTCCGCCACGTGCTCTCGCTCAATGCAACCGTTGTCGACAGTGTTGGCCCTTGTAGCGGCTCTAGCGGCCCTTGCGCCGCAAGCCTCCGCAGAGACAGTCCTGGGTGCCTATGTCTTTGCCCGCCATGGAGACCGCACTGCCAAGTCCACGCCGCCTACTGACTTGACTAGCCTGGGTTACCAGCAGGTGTTCAACACCGGCTCTTACTTTCATAACCGCTACATTTCCTTAGCGTCCCAATCACACATTTTCGGCATAAGCCCGGAAATTGTAAAACCTAGCCAACTCGTCGCCTCCGCGCCTGACGACGATGTGTTGCAGAAATCCGCTATTGCGTTCCTGCAGGCTCTGTACCCGCCCGCTGGCAGAGCCGCCATATCTACTCTTCGCAATGGCACCGTTGTCGAGTCGCCTATGAACGGATACCAGCTCATTGCTGTTGAGCAAGTGTCAACTGGCGGCAACAGCGAGAATCTCGCCTGGCTGCAGAGTGCGACCAAATGCCAGAAGGCTAAGACTAGCAGCAACCAGTTCCGCGAATCCAAGGAGTATCATGAACTGCTCCAGTCGACCACCGATTTCTACAAAACCATCGCGCCCATGGTGGAGGGAACCTTCCCGGAGTCAAAGGTTAACTTCGGCAATGCGTACCTGATCTGGGATCTCCTTAATGTTGCTAGGATCCATAACTCCACCGATTCACTGCCAGAAGATAAACTGCCGTCGGAGGCCACATTTGCTCGTCTGCAAGAGCTGGCGAACATGCATGAATTCAACCTTGCCTACAACTCCTCCTCCCCCATCCGGGCAGTGAGCGGTTCGATCTTGGCTGGCGAAGTTCTCTCCAGTTTCAAGGAACTAATCTACTCAGCTGGCACCAAGACCAAACTCAGCGTCCAATTTGGCGCCTACGCCATCTTCCTATCCTTTTTCGGCCTGTCAAAGCTTGCAGAGACGAAGTCCATCTTCACCAGCGTTCCAGACTACTCATCCAGTATGGCATTTGAGTTGGTAACCAACGCGTCGACCTCGCCATCAGCTCCCTTCCCCGACCCATCCGAGATTAGTGTCCGCTACCTCTTCCGCAGCGGCGGCATAGTCCCCGACTCCCCCGAAACCGAGCCAGTCGCGTACCCGCTTTTCGGCCAATCGAGCACGCTCATGCCGTGGTCCGAGTTCGAGTCCAACATGAAGAAGATCGCCATTTCCTCCGAGCAGGAATTCTGCGACGCCTGCAGCGAGACTCCTGAGAGATGCGGGGCCGAAGGCGGCACAGACAATGGCGCAAATGCGCCTTCAGGTAGAAGCAGTGGCCTATCGAGGGTGGGGGCCGGTGTTGTGGGTGCACTTGTGACCTTGGCTGTCATCCTGGCGCTTCAGGGGTTGGTTTTCTTGCTTGGTGGGCTTAGACTTGTCAAGAAAGGTGATGCCAAAGCGATTAAAGAGATGGAGAAGGCTAGTGTGTGATCGAACTGCTTTGAGGCCAGAATATGTGTCTGTGAGAGCTGTTTTAATCTCCGCGATAAATCGGAATAAAATCGATGGGGTATTTGAAGGGGACGGGAGAGGGGAGCCTCGATTTTACTGCATCCCTGCCTGGAATGGCATGAATAGGATGATTTGACGATGGATAGGGGGAAATGAGGAACGTCTATGTATAAGTGAGGTTATATATACATATTACATATGTAATA